TATTTTTTTCTTTTTTGCTTTATCCCTTAACCTTCTTTCATCCAGTCTCCCAGACCCACACCCCCTGAAAGCTGTTGGTCTATTCCATGTATCTATGTCTATTTTGTCCTTCAGTTTATGTTGTTCATTAGATTCCACATATAAGTGAGATCATATATTTGTTTTTCTGACTGGCTTATTTCACTGAGCAAAATAATCTCCAGGTCTATGCACGCTGTCGCAAAATGTTAAAACTTCCTTCTTTTTTTACAGCTGAGTAGTATTCCATTGTGTAAATGTATTACAACTTTTTTATTCACTTATCTACTGACAGGCGCTTGAGCTGCTTCTAGATCTTGGCTATTGTATAATAAAGGCCATATACAACAGAACCATAGCTAACATCATACTCAATTGACAAAAACTTAAAGTGTTTCCCTTAAGATAAGGAACAAGACAGGGATGTCTGCTTGCACCACTCTTATTCAACATAGTACTGAAAGTCCAAGCCACAGCAGTCAGACAAGAAGAAGAAATAAAAGGCATCCAAATTAGAAAGGAGGAAGTAAAACTGTCACTATTCATAGATGTGATATTGTAAATAGAAAACTCTAAAGATTCCACCAAAAAACTAACAAATCTAGTAAATGAATTCAGCAAAGTAATAGGATACAAAATTAATATTCAGAAATTTGTGACATTTTTATAAACCAATAATAAACTATCAGAAAGAGAAATTCCCATTTATTATTGCAACAGCAACAACAACAAAATGAGTACCTTGGAGTAAATTTAATGAAGGAGGTATAACACCTGTACTTGGAAAATGATAAGAAACTGAAGAAAGAAGTTGAGGAAGACACAATTAAGTGGCAGTATTAATCGTGTTCATGGATAGGAAAAATTAATATCATTAAAATATCCATACCACCCAAAGCACTCTACAGAGTTGACTTTCATTCTTTTGACAGAAGCTTCCATTTGAAACCATAAGGGAAATCCATGGAAAATCCCTTGAATTATAGGCCCGCATGAGGCACAAGTTACCAAACCTCACCTGTGACATTTATAAACTAAATTCCATAAAGACTTCGTACAATTTGTTTACTATGGACTTTGGAATACACTGCCAGCTTGATGGCATATAAAAATGACATTATACTATCACTGATACCCTAGTTTGAAATGTATTTTCTGCGCTTCCTTAAACTTTTTGATGAAAGACTAATGAGAAGATAAGTGTATATTAGAAACAACATAAAATTTGAGTATTGGAAAACATTTTGGAAGCCAACATCAACCCATTCACTTTACAAAGGAGGACTTTTAATCCCAGAGACTGTAGATACCACAGTGCCAGACAATTAACCAATTTATTAAACCAATTTATAAACTAGCCTAGTTTTCTTTCTTGCAAGCCAACTTGAAGGGAAAAAAAAAAAGGCAATCTGCAATGCAATCCCTTTCCCTCAGACATAAAACAAGTGGACTCAAAATACAAGTAACTCATAGTCCTTTTAAATACTGCTTTCTAATTGCCATTGCAGCCCATATAAATTTCTGTAATTCTCTCTGTCTAGTCCCAACTGGCTGCTATTTTCCAAGTCACTTATATCATTAATAAGCAAATAAAAGATCCATAAAATCACCCAGGATAGTGAATTTCCAATAAAACAAAATTCACCCACTCTGCATTTTCATTGGCATGTGAAAAAGCATTTTAAAAAGATTCAGAACTACATGCATATTTCATTTAAACATTTATTTTTAAGCTGAAGATATGTTATTATTCATTCAATCCCTGAGTATAAATATTCCAAGAATATCTATAAATAGTAAGTTGGAGAAAAAGAACTGATATGAGAGTCATAGTATGTATCTTCTTAGACAAGAAGTAATAAAACTTCTGGTGAAATAATCTTTCAGTCAATTTTGGAACATACACCCAATTCTAAAATAGAGAATATGCCTAACTGAGCCCAACCAACATTACTGCACATTTCTGTGAGTATGACTATACACTAGATATTAATGTGCAAAATGGAAAACAGGTCCTCCCTATTTTTAATTGTCTTAGATTTTGCTAAAGAAGGTAAAAGTGTGATTTCAACATAAATATTTACATTCACACAAGCACTCCCTCGTCTAAGCCACCATATTTCTTGCCTTAAATACAGCAATAGAGTTCCTTTTTGCTTTACTCTGACCTTCTCTAATCCTGTATTCTCCACACGGTTCCTTCCACTGCTCTTAGAATAAGAAAACATGAACTCCCTCGTGTGCTCTGCAGAGCCCTGTGGGCTCTTCTTCTGCCGCCCTGACAGTCTCATTTCCTCCCACTTTCTTATCAGGTTCATATACTCGTATTCACATTGGCTTCCTTTCTCTGCTGTGAAACTAAGCTTGGTCTGGCCTGTAACCTTTGCACTGACTTTCTTTTGTCTGAAATTCTTGCACGTGGCTCTTCACGAAGCTGACTGAAGCTTACAAATTTCAAATATCACCTCTTCAGAGATGCTTTACCTGACTAGGTGGTTTCAAAAGTGCCAGAATCTTCACCTCATCACTTTCAAAAAATGACAACATCCTATTTATTTCCTACATAATCCTACTCACTTTCTTAAAAAAGAACAGTGCTTTGCATTGATTAGATATATCTTATCCATGTTAAAATTAATAAAAACCCTCTCTTAAGAGTTTTAAGCGAAGTTATAACTTATATGAGTTTGACATTGTAAAACTGCCCTAAAGGGCCTACTAATCAAAAAATATCTATCTACTTACCCACCCATTTGTCCATCTACCAATGTTGTGAGAAGAAATGGAACATATAGGACAAAAAGCAATGATGGTTATCAAGGAACCCAAAATTTAGTTACCTACAACTAACTTCGGCATGTCAACTTCATTTTACTAGGTTTTGATTTGTATAGCAAAGGGGTTATGTTAGGTAATTTATTTTAAAAAATTCAGTTCTAAATTTTAGTAATTTGAAGTTGATATTCCTAAAAGTCATTAACATTTCTTTAAGCGTGCATTTCTTAATAACTTGAGCACAGTGACACAGAAATTTCAATTACTCAGTTAGGGGCTTCTTGTCCGTTTGTAGATTATTTTGCCCTAACTCTTTTGATGCCTCATGTTAAGTCCCTCCCATTTCGTACTCCAGAGTGTAAGAAAATATTGAAAGTATTTCATAAAAATTATACTGAATTATCTAGTCATTCCTCTCGTAGAAAATATACTTCTAATATGTATGTATGCCAAAATTTTAAAATAATCCAGGGATACTAAGAACGGTCAGTTTTTAACACATGACTTTATATAACATCTGTTACCACTGTTTCCAAACAACATAAACAATAAAGAATTTGTTGCACTTTCTGTTAAAACTAAGTCCAAAAATTTCTCATGGAAGACATACTGCCTAATACCACCACTAAAAAATAAAATAAAAAAATTTTAACAATTCAGGAGTATGATGTAATATAAAAAAATAATAAATAAAAAAATAGAAGTGGGTAAAGACGGACCAGTGAGAATAAAAGGAGACTAAGGGGACTAACTCAATACAACAGTGATTTTTTTTCTCAATTTCAATTCAAATAAAGCAATGATGAAGTTTAAAGAATTGGCTGCAAAAAATATAAAGCACATAATAAAATTATGGGAAACAAACTTAGAAGATGCAGTAGTTCAAGGTAAAGAAAATTCAGGCAGCAAGAAATAAAGGTCCTATTTCATAATATGCAATGATAGGACGTCCTTTAGCACTCAGAGAAAATAATCATGGGACTTCTTTAATGCACAGCAGGGGTACACAAAATAGTATGTATGAGAAAATCCTAATTTAAAATACTTCATATAAGAAAACCTGCAATGATAAATTCTGTAGCAAACTTAAATTAGTTGACTGTTATCTTAACATGGTAATTAAACTGCACTGTGAAACAAAAGCAAAAGTGGTTATGCAATAAGTTATGTGAAATTACATGCTGTGTGTGCTGGAAAGATAAAGCATCACAAACCTAGGTTATAAACATATTCGTACAATGTAAACAAACAAACGGACTTGTGGTTGGTTAAGTGTATCCTCCATTTTACTATTTACATTTTCAACACTTATAGCCTGTCACTGATTTATTTTTACTTGCTGGAAAATGCAAGAAGAAATTAAATGCTGTATAAGACTATTAGCTTTATTTCCTCAAGACTTAATTTCCATCCACCTTTAAGTTTACTTCTTGATAATAACTAACATGTCGAAGCCACTACTGGTCAAAACAACCTTTCTTTTCCCCAAGAGATGGGCAAAAGGAAATGTTTTTTGGCTCACTGAAAGCCATTTCCACTGCAAATCTGGTAAAAGTATGCACATCTTTCACAACAGCAAACAAGCTATAATACTTTGCCTCACTTAACACATGACTCACTACTAATGATAGAGCGGAGTGTGACAGAGCTGTTACGTAAGTTCAGTCTGGCGTGATTAAGGCCAAGGCCAAACTGAACGAGAGAGCCATGCTTTACACACTTTACAGTTTATCCTTGAGCTCAGTCTCAGGCATGTAGAGGCTGGTGTACGTCCATATCTTCCAGAAAGCAAGATTTTGAGGCCAAAATGTAAACTTCTAAAACTTTAAAATGATACATTCCATAAGCAACGCATTATCTTTTACAATGAAAAGAGAACTAATATTTGGATTAAATACTATGCATCAGGCAAGGAGCCAGATGTTTTCCCAATGAGAGCTCATTTAACCTCCACAGTGACCTTGAAAAAAACAACTGTGAAAACACCTTCCCACTGAAGTCCTATGAAAATCACTAAAGGAAATCATAGTGCATAGCCCTCTTTAATATGCCCATTCTGAATGCAAAGGTAAGAGTATGGAATGAGGCTAAGTCTGCAACAACGAAGTCAATGTCCTCTCAAAATGTTCTTTGCCAGCAAAACCTAAATCTCCCATCAACATTAATAGGAAATTTGGGGGACATGGAAAAAACTATCAACCACTCACCATAATGCATGTAACAGTTTCCTTTGGTGGGATCCAGCTCAATAGCCTTCAAGAAGAACTTTTCAGCCTCACTCTTACGACCCTTGAAAAACAGAGAAAATGGATGATTCAGCAGCGGATCATGAGGGATTCTTCTCCCCCCGGGCCCAACTGAAGTAGACTGATGTCTACTTGATAAGCATCATCAAAAACTGTTCTGTTTTTATTGAAACAAAAATGATCGGGGTGAATAAACTGAAAGAGAAGATTGAAGATGGAATCCTGGGAAACACCAAGATTAGAAGAACAGATGAAGAGTGAGTTCCTCAAAGATCAAAAAGAAGAGGTCAGAGAAGCAAGCAAAAAAAAGTAAAACATGGTTTCACAGAAACCAAAAGGCTAAGGTAGTTTGAAGGTATAGCGAGAAACATCATTATCATTGCCTATTTTATATTCTCCCTTGAATTACTTCCTTTTCATTCCTCGTAAAGAATTATGGCCATTTTAGCTTTTGGAATGATTTTGTCCTAAATGGTGACTTTACATATGAAGAAAATAGTCAAATTTGTTGAATATCAAACAATTACTATTTATCCAGGACTTTCTGCTATCATTCCCAACTAACATACTGCTAATCTAGGATTTAGCCTAAAAGTAGATCATCTCTCCAGCTATATTTTTAAATAAACATTACTGACTGCACCTATGCTGACTGCGAGTGGCATCGTGGCATCAAGGCACTGGGTGGTGTCCAGTGGCCGTGGTCCAAAATAAAACAAATGATAAACAAAAAAACAAGCCCTCCACCCCACACAAAAACAAAGTTTTGTTCCTTCCAATTTATACATTATCTACCACATGAACCTCAAATGATGTTTTTTCTTTCTTTACATATATTTTTAAAACCACTGTGTCTGTCAGTAGAGTGAATAAAAAAAGCTTTTATATATCAATACCTGTGATAGATATTACTCAGCCATAAAAAAAGAGAAAATTTTACCCTTCACGACAGCATGGATGGATTTGGAGAGCATTATGCTAAGTGAAATAAGCCAGTCAGAGAAAGACAAATGCCATATGATTTCACTCCTATGTAGAATCTAATCAACAAAATAAAGTAACAAACAAAATACAAATAAGACTAATAGAGAGCAGGCTGGCAGCTGTCAGAAGGGAGGGGGATTGTGGAGCTGGATGAAAAGGGTTAAGGAATTAAGCAAAAACAATAGCAACGACAACAACAAAAAAATAAACTCAGAGATATAGACAACAAACAGTGTGGCGATTACCAGAGGAAAAGGGGGGTGGGGGGAAGTAGAAGAGGGTATAAGAGGGATAAATTGTAATAGAAAGAGACTTGACTTTAGGTGGTGAACACACAATACAATATACACATGATGTATTATAGAACTGCACACCACAAAATTATATAATTTTATTAACCAATGTCACCCCAATAAATTCAATAGAAACAAAACAAACAAAAAAACCCCTTTAAATTGGAAAAAAAACAGTTATGGAGATAAATCTTCCAAAGCTAAAGGTGTATAATTAACCTAATATTCTATACCCCATACAACTTTGACTTATATCTCCATATACCTCCTCCTTTTTGTTTATTCACTCATTTAAAAAATTCATTCTTGCACATTCTTTATCATTCATTTCCCAGCAGGCAGGGCCTAGCCTACAGCCTTAGCCACTGATGACTAGTGTTAACCAAATGACCACATAACCGATTTCATTTCTTCTTTATTTTAATAATGCTACTCCAGTCAACAATTCCTCTTTAACTCACACATCTCATCAAATATCCAATAAATACAATTTTAATGCCTTGCAATATTTCTCCCAGCATTTTAACTTCAAAGGAAAAAAAAAGCAAAGCACAAAATGCTTTGTACACATATCATACAATATCTTCATGAGGTTAGTAAAAATTTGCAAGAATCTTACCAAATTAGGATTCCTAAATGATAAAATAACTATAATGAATCAGACAGTCTAAATACAAATTAAGAACATGCATTCCAGGCAGGCAGAACAGCACCCGCCTTTGTGTAGCTATGTGACCCGGAGGAAATTATTTCATTTCTCAGCTGGAATTTTCCCTATTATAGAAAAGAAGACAGGTGGTGTGCAGAAGATTTTTAGAGCAGGGAAACTATTCTGTATGATGCTGTAATAGTGAGTACTTGTCACTATACATTTGTAAAAACCCATAGAATATATAACACAAAGAGTGAACCCCAATTAACAATGGACTTTAATTAATAATAATGTATCCATCTTGGCTCATCAGTTTTAACAAATGCACAACAGCAATGCAAGTTTATAATAATAGGAAAGCTGTGTGAAGGGTGGTAGGATGGGGAGGGAGCATACATGAGCTCTCTGTGCTTTGGCTCAATTTTTTTTGTAAACTTAAAACTGCTCTAAAAATAGCGTATTATTAAAAAAGAGTATAATGAAATATTTCATAAGAATATGAAATTTCTAAGGTGATATATATAATGCTTAGGTATATTGTAAGTTTGTAATATATGTTAACTATCATTTTATATATACACATATACATACATACACATATATTAACATGCAACAGAATGCAGAATTCTGAATGTTTTCTTATACATATCACCTCAGAAACACACGGTCAGCTTTAAATCATCCCTGGAAAATGAGGTACAAAGATGCTGTTAAAAGAAAGATGCCAAATGAACACTACCATTGGTAGAAGTCTGGGCAAATGTTATATGCTTAGATAAAAAGGCTCTGTGAACTTTTTTCCACTTAAGTGTTTCAGGATAGAAGAGAAAAACCATGTTCATTTATCATGTCACAGTAAATGGTGTAGTAAAATCCCTGCCTGTAGTCTACTGGCAAAACAATAGTATACAACATTAAAAACATGCGCCAGAATGCAAAGGACAGTGGTCTCAGGTTGCTACATGGACCAGGTTATTAAAGGCAATGAATCCCACCAGCTCCTAGGTGCAGCATAAGCACATCTAAGGACAGAACCCTCTTTTCTGGGAGTAAGTATCAAACCATCACGCAAAACCTATCTTTCTACTTTGACTACTAACTGTTTAATCAACTGTCAAATAACGAGGAAAATAAAATCATCACAAGAGTATTTAAAATCAAGAGTCAACCAAATGCATAAGACACATACATTACTAGGTCTTAGGAAGGGATTATGGTGGCTGGGAGGTAACCTTATGTTTAGTCAAATTTACTCGATCAACTATCATTACTTTAGAGGGATGGCAGTTAAGAAGGGGAAAAAGTTATTTCTCAGCAGGCTTTTCTTGGTGTCTTTTAGATGACATCAGCATTTTCTTCTAGCATTATGGTGTAAGCCAGTGATTGCCCAAACTCCTCACATCAAGCACCATTACTCATTCTGTATATTTGTTGGGATTTTTGACACATGAGTTGGTTCATAAAAACAAAACAAAACAAAAAACGGACTGTGGCCAACTGTGACAAATAAGGGAAATGTTAACTGAGAGGCTCAGGTTCTTACTGTCAGTTCTGTGACCTGTTCACTTCTTCGTTCCTTTATTTTTGGTAGGTTGAAAATATTTATTAAATGCTTACTATTTGCCTTGCATAGTTCAGAGTACCAAGGGTGTAACCATAAACAGAGCGCTTGCCATCAAGCCCTAGTTGGAGGAGGTACATAATGAACATACTGCCCAAGCATAAGGGAATTGGTCAAAGAGTGCAACGGGCTAACAATTTCTCTCATTCTCTTCAAGGGAACTAGCCTAGAGACAGGCAAGCCTATGTTTGAATCTTGCTGTCTGTACTTATTTAACTGTGTGACTCTGAGGGGTTTTCTTGTAATATCTGAGTTTCTTTTTCCTCATTTGGAAAAATTAACATAATTAGTACCAATTTTGAAGGATGGCTAAGAAAATCACAAATCAAATGGAAAAAACTAGCTTCAGATCTGGCATATAAAGTTGTGGTATTCTTTAATTTTTCTTCCTTCTGTCTCCTCAGAAGAATTCTCCCTCCCAAGTTCGACATCACTATCTGGTTCCTAATTATCAAATTTCAAAAATCCTTTTTAGAATTCCATGTCATGATAGCAATTAAATTTAACAATTTTCCTAAAATATGACTCTCTTTCCTAACACTTTCTCCTCCCCCAAATAAAAGCCCAATAAAAGGCCTTTCAGCTCACATCTAGAGTGCAAAAAGAAGTTCAGATTCCCTTACTCACTGAACTTCATTTCCCCAAATTAATGTTCCTTAAGCAGAACTGTTTTCACTATACCCTTATTCACATTATACCTATTTCACTGGCTTCTTGTTTCCACTTATCCTATTTAACCATCAGTCTAATTATCAAAATCTTCCACAATCTAGCTCAAATCTTAATGGATAAATATCTCTCTCTTATCAGGCCAATATATACACATACACACACGTAGGGCAAAAAGTAGGTCTACAAAACAGTTTATGTAGTGAGTATGCAAAACAGTTTATTCTCATATTATTATTTATTGACTATTGTATTATTTTCCATACAAACAACTGTAAACCTTTATGTGAGTGTCACACACTCCCCCCAAATAGCCCTCACACTCCCACTTAAGAAACCGTTCAGGAATATTAAATATAAGAAGGAATTATACCATTATGGTTTCAGTTTGAATTGTTTTGTTTTTAAAAAGTAAACCTTAGCCCTGGTGTGGCTCAGTGGATTGAGTGCTGGCCTACAAACCAAAGGATCACCGGTTCAATTCCCACTCTAGGGCACATGCCTGGGTCATGGGCCATGTCCCCAGTGGGGGGCACACGAGAGGTAGCCACACATTGATGTTTCTCTCCCTCTTTCTCCCTACTTTCCTTTCTCTAAAAAATAAATAAAATCTTTTCAAAAAAGTAAATCTTAAAACAAATTTTGTACTTATTTTTGGTAACAAATTACTGATTATATCAACCATTATATCATCAAGTGTATCTTGATGCCACAGCTCAGAACTATTTTACTAAATGATACCTGAAAAGATCAAGACTTTGCATTGCTGCATCGCACTAGGAATATATAGGTATGAATGTAATTAGTTTATTACTCTTGTCTTA